CCGTGCAGTTCAAGAGGATGCTGACGGTTCAGCCTTGCTCCGCGCCGCCTGCCTCGGTACCCGGCCCAGGGCTCTGTCCCTGACGGGAGGGATGTGGCCAGCGTAGCGGAGAGCAGGAGGGGCCGGAGAGGCCACTATAGGGTCGCGGCAGCTCACAGGAGAAAGCCCAGCCCTCCCCTGAAACGTTAAAGAGAGTGTGTAACTTGTCCGCATTTTGATACTTTGTAATGAGCGGTTCCTTACCACCTCTCCAAGAATGCCTGGCGCTTTTTTTTCCGGATTTTTTTTCCCCCCGATTTTTGTCTTACCTGAAGCTGTCAGTGGAGTCGGTTTCACTTTCAGATCTGGAAAGTTGCAGGAAGTCTGGTGCTCTGCCTACCGATACTCCTGTCTCTTTAGGGATCCTGTACTCAAAAAAAAAAAAAAAAAAAAAAAAAAAAAAAAAAAAAAAAAATTTCAGCTATAGTGGTACCTAACTCAAAGAACAGGGGAATAGGCAAACGCCTGTGAACTCTGGCTATGTCTGTGAAAATGCTTCTGGGGAAGGTTTTGAAATGCCTGGGCCAAGCACTCTAGTCCCCTCCTGCACGCTGTAGGATGAAGGGCTGCTCTTAGCTCAGACCTGCAGGATGCTCTCGGGTGTGTAAGAGCTAATGCAAAGATTCTTGCTTACAGATACTGTAGCCTATGAGCTAGGCAGCCCAAGGCGTCTCTGAAGTAGCTAGGTTTTGCCTGGATAAATCAATTATGAAACTGTGCAACTGTCTCCCATTCTCTGCGTTTTTGCAGCCACGCTGTTACTAATAGCTCGGTATGTTTCAGTCGCAGCGGTGACTGCTGTGTGAACATACCCCCCTACAGAGGAAGTGCTTACAGAGAACGGGCAAGGGGGAGGGCATGGGGAGACCCACACAACTGAAACACTTCTGCGCTAGGTAAAATGGACTAGTCTCTTGCAGATGTAACTTCCATATTAAACAGTAACTGGTCTTGCCCAAATTGTAGTACGGACTCATAGATAACCTGTCTGAATGTACTTGTGAACATACTTTAGAGAAGGTATGAAATAGAACATGGCTTATTCAAAACTTTGGAAAGCTGTACTGACTTGGTTGCTCTACAAGTCGCCAGCATCTTCCCCCTGTCAAGCAGTCATAAAGTTTCCTACTGCAGCTGGGATGCAGTAGGAGGCTTCTTAGCCTTTACTCCATCACTAAATTGATTTTATGTCTCTAAGACCTTTGTGTGTGAATACTCAGTTTCAGTAAGATGAGAAGACGTGGTAGAAGTACACCTGCTAACAGTTCAATGAGAAAGACTAGTTTTTCAGTGGCAAGGTCACTTTAATAGTCTTATACTGCTGTAAAAAAACCAACAACCCAACATTCAGATGAATGTTGGGCCCAATCCCATTTTGTCTACACTGGATATTTAGTGACCTGTCTGTCGCATAGAGTGGCAAACTTCTATTTATTGAGTAGTTGAAGTGTACATGCAAATTAGGTAATGAAAAATGTTGCCCTATTAGGAGGATGTTCACAACACTTAAAATGCTACATGCTTGCCATTTGTAAAGCTTCAAAGGAACACAAAATTATTCTGTAGACTTGCTGAATTTTATGAGCTATTATGAATTGGTAGCTAAACTGAATTGGAAAAAAAAAAAAAAAACCACACAACTTTATTCCTGGCATTGTAGAAGCTTTTTTGAACTTTGTAATTGACCACTATAATCTAAATCCCTTGGGACTAGTTGGTTTTGCTGCTAAGCAAAATAGAAGGTTTTGTAGCTGGTCTGTAGAGCTTGCAAACCAGGTTTGCAGAGCTTATAGACAATTATGGTACATGACTTTCTGTTGTCAACTGTTAAGATGGTATTAAGTTAAAAAGATACTGATGATGACTGTCTCATGGTCTGAGGAGTTGTGCCAAACAACAATCTCTCTGAAAGTAGAGCAGTCAGTATTTTAATCTGCTGGACTTGATAGTAAGCCCAGAACCCTCACTCTCAATCCTGATCTAACCTAGTTAACAACTTCTGTGCAGAAAAGAAATAACAGCTGCTAAAATAAATTTGAGTATGCAAATCTACTCTTGAAATTCTTAGAAAGAAACTATGTCATTGATGGTGTCAAAAATGGTTTGTTAGAAAAGAGCATGCTTCCTTATAAAGCGCTGTAGCTTAGAAAAGAGTACTACATGATAATAGTTAACAGTGAACTGAATAACTTTAGAAGTTACTTGTTTGCTTTTGTCAGTCCCACTCTGGCAGTTTAAAACAACATGACAACTGAAAGAATGCAAATTTTGTATTATATGGTCTCAATAAGCAGTATAAGGCAAAGTGATCCATCCTGATCTATTTTTAAGATACAGCTGGAGCAGAAGATTATACTTTATAGTAGCAATCCAACCTTACCTCTTTTTGTTCAAAGAGCAAAAACTGTTGCTGCAAGTCTGAAATTGCTTATCATATTACTGGTTACTTCCCATTTAAATCTTGCATTCTTGTGATAGAGCTGCAACCATGGGTTGCAGAACAACTCATCTGCAAAATCCTGAGCTAGCAAAACTTAATACTGTTGTCCACAATCTAATTCAATGCTTGGTTTCATTTGAAAATGAAACGTAAGTTTTACGCTGCCCTAAGTTCAGGGTTGAGAGCTGAACCTAGACTAACTCTACAAAACTCTACTGTTACTAACTTCAGACCAAATGCAAGCTCACTAACTTAAAATTAGTATATTAATGGCCAAAATAAGGCTCTCTAGACCTTTTGGATTGTCTCTAACATTTGGCATGGCTTATTTAACCTGTGGGCAAACTGGAATTGGTTTTCTCTTGCAACAGTCTTCATTTTGTGGGGTTTTTTTGGTGATGTTTTTTAATGCATTTTTGCCATGTGTAAATTTACTGATAGCCTATGCAAGTATAATCTGCTTCATTCAGCCATGTAGGTAGGCCCAATACATAGAGTTAAACGGCACATCTTAGAGGTCTCACAGCATGACTACCTAACAATACTAGGTTTCGAGTATATCTGTCTCAGAATAAAGTAGTGGATCATGCTAACTTGACCAAGTTCATTTCTTCCAGACCAGTCTTTTGTGACTCTAGCCACAAATGACTCCTATGTGAAAGGAGCACTGGTACTTGGTTCATCCTTGCAACAGTACAGAACAACAAGGAAGCTGACTGCACTCATAACTCCTCAGGTCTCAGATCTCATGAGGTAAGGTCACTT